GGGTTGGGAGGGGTTGCTACCCGTGGGTATCCAGCGTGTCGAGGTCTGGACCGACAACCCTGCCGTCATCGATGGTGGGGGTGTGGGGGGGGTGGTCTGGGGGGGGTGCGGGAGGTCGGGGGTGGTGTGGTGTACAGGGTGGGTTTGTTTTTTGGTGGGTAGCGTCAGACACCAACCGTTAGGTTGGCATGTGTCCCGGAGCAAGCCCACTGGTATAAGGTGTGGGCGGTTGGGGTGGGTGTCCTGGGTGTGTGGGGTTGGGTGGGGGGTGGAAGGGTTGGGGTGTTGTGGGTGGGTGGGCCCCACTGTAACAGGGAGGGATGTGGTCGTAACTAGTGGGGTGGTCAGGTGTGGGGGTCTGGTGGGGGGGGGGGGGGGTGGAGCAGCCAGGCAAAGAAGTACTGGGGTGGGGGATTGGTGTATGGTGGAGCCGTTGTGTAGTGACAGTGTGTCTCCTACCCACACTCCAGTGAGGGGTTGTATGGTGACGCGGAGACCCTAATTGAGTGGTATTGGGCTGGTGGCACTTGGGTGTGGTCGTCGTCATCAGTTATGTCGTGGGCATCACATCAGGTGAAGGGTGGTGGGGGGTTGAGTGTGGGGCAAACGTTGGGGGGGTGCCCAGAGTGTGGGGGGGGGGTGGGGGCAGTTTGGGTGTGTTGGGGGGGGGGTGATGGGGTAAGAGTTCTTTGTGTCCACTGCAAGCCTAGGGGGGGGTGCCCAGTATGTGGGGTGGTGTGTGTGGGAGGGAGTGTCTATGGTGGGAGGGGGGGTAGTGGTGGTGTTGCGGGTGGGTGGTGTAGGTTTTCGTGTTCTGGTGCGTTGTGTGTGTGTTGTGTTCGGTCAAGGTGTTGTGTGTGTTAGTTGTTTGGGGTGGCCGTAATGTCGACCTATGTGGGGGGAAAGTCAAGCGGGTCTGGGGTGTTGGGGGTTGGTTTGGGACTGGTGCGTTGGGTCCAGTTTGTTGTTGGGTGTGGGGTTTTGTTGGGTGTTTTGAGGGGGTGGTAGGTGGGTCTCACTATTTATGGCGGGTATGGGGGGTCTGCTGCGCCACGGGGGGTGTGGGGTGTGGATTATCCCGCGTCCGTGTTGGTTGGTCCGTGGGGTGGTGGGTTGGGGGGGGTCGTTGTGTGTCTGCCAGTGGGGGGGCTGGGGGGGGGGGGACCTCTGCTGAGGGCGGGTGTGGTCGCTGGGTGAGGTTGTCTGGTGTGTTCGTGTGGGGATGCTTGGGTGGGGGTATCTAGTGCTACTCTCTTTGTGGTGGGATTTCCGTCCATGAGTCTTTCTTGGAGGGGGATTTGTTTGTGTGTAATTTAGATCAACAGTTTAGTGCGATGCACGCACCCACGGTGGGGGGGGGGTAAATGTCCTCCTGGGGGGGAGTTTGCTGTGCGGGGTGCCAGTCCCTTCCCTGTGTGGGGGGGGTGTATCAGCACCTTTCCGAGAAATGGAGTGGCTTTGTGCCGGAGCCGAGGATTGTTGAGGAGTGTGTTTGTGGGTTGCATTTGTTGGCCAAAAAGGCAGTGCAGCCCGTGTGGATTCTCATTGGTAAGAGATGGTGGGCCAGGTGGTTGTGTTCTATTCGGTTTTCCTGCCAGGATGCAGCGGTTATCAGTTGACCTAGGTTGGGGTTTGTGGGGTGTAACGGTTTTGAGGACAGTGGGGTGTGTCTTTACGGCCCACTGTGTTGAACGTGGTGGGTAGGGGGTGCCGCACTATATATTGTAGGACGGTAGTCACGTTGGTTGGGTAGCTTTTGCATATACGTCGGTTTGCAGGTGGTGGTGGTGGGAAAGATGTCTGCCTCTAATGGGTAGGTGTTGATGTTGCCGGTGGTTTTTCAACCGCCACCTTGGTGCCCCGGGCCAAGTCCCCCATCTATCTTGGAGTACCGTGCAATTAGCACATGTTGTATGGAGCAACGGATGTCACCTGGGGCACCTGGATAGTTTATTTGGAGAGAGATTGAATTTTATGATGGTAGTTGGGGGTAGGTATTTTTGAGTGCAGATGAAAATATAGATTAGCAGTTCGTGTCAGTATGTGAATGTTAGTTTAGATGTCGGGATTAGGTACTGTATGATCGAGAACCAGTGGGGTAGTTTGACCGACAGCATGTTCGGAGGGGAAGTAGAAGAGTATGTGTCCTGATGTAGGGCAAGGGAAGGTTTTTTTTTATATTTGCGTTAAGCATGGCTCATTTGTTCAGGGAAGGAGGAGGTGTGTTGTCATGGCGGTATTTATTTGATGAAATCCCACCAGTGGATCGATACTGCAGGACCTACTGGAAGTATATGTCTGTTGTGGGAGTGAACTTTGCCATCATGTAAGGACAGGTCTAGGGGTGGGGGGGTCAATATGAAGGGGCGTCACACCAGGTTCTGTTAGCTGGAAGTCGGCATGAACGTGTAATTAATACAGCTATCGCCCTGATCTGCGATAAAGAAACAAGTAGGACTTCAGAAAGGTGAAAGAAATTAGAAACCATCCTCAAAAGTAAACAAACAGAAAAAAAAAATCACACGCATTTCCAAATGGTTACACCAGCGTACTAAAGGTACTCAACACACAAAAAAACTTATAAAGGTCAAACATTGAAACAAAAAACAAAATCGTGACAACCTGCCGCGTGCTCAGGCAAAATAACCGAGTCCGAATTAATAAAGTCGGCAAAAAAATAAAAAAAAACGAAAAAAGTCCTCAATATAAATAGCACGTCCTAGATAGAACTAAAATGAACTGTGTAAACAACTGGCTGGTAACGCCAATAAATAAAGTACCTAATAAAAAATACACAGGAGCTCAACGTCCAACATGATATCTGTGGGGGCAGGACCAGAAAAACAGGACTGAGACATAGGAGGAAAATATATACTCCCCAACCAACAAGGGAAATGGTGGTTTTTCCACGGCAAAAACCCTGCAACAACAGTTGGTGGGAAACAGGAGCAAGCTCTAAAAGTGAGAGGACCCACGCGACCCCCAATAACACTATCCCCTACTACAAGCGGAGGAGATGGAGCAAGGGGAGTCCCTCCCAACTCCACACAAAACACAAACAGCCCAGAGCACAGGCTCCCTTTGCTTCCGCCGTACCTCCACCCCCCACACCCCACACATACATACAAGCGCAACAACCGCAACCCCAAATCCACTGTCCAACCTGTTGCCCCACCTCACATACGGTTCAACGAATCCGTGGCCTTTTTCACACCAACACTCCCAGAGGGACCCCCTCTTATAATTCCCACCTCCCCCTCCACCACAACCTAGGTAGTCCAGGTGTCACTGCCTCACCCTGCCCAACCTCCCATCACTCCCTAACAACGTGGGCCCTTCGCTGCCGCCCCAGCTTTCCAACCCCCTATCGGGCAGCAAAAATCCCATGGTCGCCTGAGCATCCCCAGTGGCAACCCCCGCCCAGCCAACCCCCTTCCTCAATCCCCAGTTCATGATGAGTAGCTGTCGTCACCCAAAACACAGTGCCGACCAACTAACGACCAGCCGCCAGCAGCTGCAACCCCTCCAGGTGGGACCGGGAGCAGACCTCAAACCAACAGGCGTGGGCCGACTTGACAGCACCGCTGCCAAACCGAGTAGACAAGCCCCTTGACTACGGGCGAACAAAACTTGACCTTTGGCCCCCCAACTAGCTGAATTTGCCCTTGAAAGCTGTCATGCCCGGGCCAGTAGCGTGCATCGAGCGCGTGTTTCGTGCGGCAGGAGGTGATTGTAACTCCACGGAGGACACGACTGCCACCCAAAGTGTGGAGAGACTCTCCACGGTTGTGTTAAGGAATCTGGCGTGGAGTAGTCTGGATTTTTCAAACCACCGAAGTTTCCTGACACAACTACCTAATAACCTAGCGGTCAGGCCGCTCCCTGAACTCCGCGGGAATCTGGCTTTGAATATCTGTATGCCCTTAGAGGACCGCTGTCAAAACAGCCTCATAATTGTTTTTCTAAAATGGCCCCCTTTTTGGGAGGCCGCAGGCGGGACAGCGGATAAATTTGATTTGTATAAAAGTACTTTTTGGGCCGCTGCCCCGGCCCAGCCCCCTAAAATTATTTTTTTGTATATACCCTTTCCAAACCACTCTAAAAAATAAGTCAAAATTTTCCAGCTGTGTATAGCCTTTTGGGCCAAGGGTCAATCAAGTCATGTTTGTGTTATAGTTGTATAGCCTTATAGCCCCCTGTCTTTACAACTTTTTTTTTTCCCCATGCGGATAACCCAATCGGCCACTTTCGGCACCAGTTGCGTAGCCCCCATCACCACACGTGCCAGGGGCCCCCTGAAACCCGCCTTCTCATACGGGCTGCCAGTTCCATCCTTTTGCCATTTTGGGGTTTTTGGCGCCCTGCTCCCCGGGCGGGGGTTTCCTTTTTTAAACCCTAGGCCTGTGAGGGGCTTCCGAATACGGGCTCCCTCCACCGACACCCTGACCCTGCGCCATTGTGCCCTCTTGTCAGTGCCTGATCCCTCGCTGATGACGGCTTCCCGCTTGTTAACCTAGGCCTGTGTATGGGGCTTCCGATATACTGCCTGCCTCCACCGCCACCCTGCGCCATGTGCCTTCTGTCGTCTGCTCACCCCCAGGCTGCTGACGGCTTCCGCTTTGTTAAACTAGTCCCTAGTGTAATGTCCAAATACTGCTGCCTCCACCGCCACCCTGCGCCATGTGCCACTTTCGGGTCTCCTCACACTGCTGCCAGGTCCATACTGATTCATGGCCCCCTGTACCGACTCCTCATGAACGTGGTTCAGCGGGTTTGCATCACTTAACGGCAAATCGTTGACAAATGCTGGGACGTTCAGTGTTGTGCACATTAAGCCAGACACCAAAGGGCAGCACAGACCTGTTATTACTCGCTCAAGCATGGCTGAACAAAACCAGTCTCTACCACAAATTGGACCCAGACCTGCCCAGGGTCTCGTAAGTAGATTGCACGGAGGAGTAGAGTTCGTTATTGGAATTAACTGTGAGGGACTTTTAAACCTAGGCCTGTGTATGGCCTTCAATTGAAGCGCTTTCTTCTGCTCCGCCACTCTGCCATTGGACTCTTGATAGTCGTCTCCCCACGCTGCTGGCTGGGGGGACTTTTTAAATCATAGGCCTCTGTATGGCCTTCAATTTTAGCTGCTTACGCTCCGCCACTCTGCCATGGGCCCCTGTACCGCCTCCTCATGCTGCTGCCAGGCCCGTAATCTGTCATGGGCCCCCTGTACCGCCTCCTCATGCTGCTGCCAGGTCCAGAGTGTCTCATGGGTCCCTGTACGGCCTCCCATTGCTGCTGTCTCCATCGCCACACTCTGCCATGTGCCACTTTCAGGTATCCTCACACTGCTGGGTGGGTTCCATTTTGTCATAGGGTGCTGTATGGCCTCCCATTGCTGCTGCCTCCACCGCCACACTGTGGCTCCACACTCTGGTTTTGGCCCCGTGACTGCCCAAATGAGTGAAGTGTGCGGTGATTCTAAGATCGACGGCACTCATCTGCATGTCATACTGACTGACAGTATTATTTCTCTTCCCCAGCAGACTCCAAGGGCATTTAAATTAAAGGTACAGTGTTTCTGCACTAATATAAAGGCTCTCTGAAGCCTAGAAACACCCTTTTTATAAGTTAAATTCGCAGCGAATATATTCGGCACGAAGCGAATTTAATCGGCGAATTCGGCGAATCAGCCGAACCAAATTTTTGAATAATTCGCTCATCTCTTAATCGCTGGCTGCTGTCGTTGCTCTGGGCGAGGATGATGTCACTCCTGCGCATGCACAGAAGTTCAATCAGATTCGGCATTGCTGAATTGTACAGTGAGCTGCATGTGCGTAGCTCACTGTACAATGCTGAACAGGCAAGTACGGTAAGTATCTTTAATGCAAAAGAGAAAACGCATGTCTCTTCTGCATTAAAAATCCTGCCTGTTTATCTTTACTTCTGACCTAAAGTCAGAGAAAGTGAAGCTGAAAACTGCTTCTGCTGTGAATATTGAGGATAAATTGTTCCACAGTGCTTGCAATCAAAAAGGTGAGTGATGGCTCGTTTTAAAGCTCAGTTACTGTGTGTTAAGAATGTGTAAATACTTAAATGTCCATAGCCTGGCCACAGATTAATTTTAAACTACATAGGTACCTTAAAATAATATATAAATATGTATGTGCACAAAAAATTATTATAGAAACATTTTCTATTCTAAAATGAATTAGCAATCATATACAACATGCAACTTGAATTCTTTCTATTGATTTGTGCATCTACTGAAAATGCTCATTATAAATTGTAATTTGCTTTACTCTAATTTACTTGCTTCTTACAGATAATAATATGCATTTTACTTATTTTGGCTTTAACCTAATTCTTTGATCAAAGACTCCTCGGGGCAATCTTAAGCGCTATCTTCCTGTGACCTAATCTCCTGGGATAATCTAATTAGGTCAAATAAATTCAGGATAAAATATATTCATCAAGGATAATACATTTATAATTGATTTTGCATTCTCTTTCTTCTTTTAGTTTTTAGAATTCTAATATTTTATATTTGCTTTGATTGTTTGGGTTTACAGAAATGTTAAGTAGTAGTTTACAGCTTTGATTAAATGGTTTCTAAATACAACTTTGTTTTCTAAATTTAAAAAGCCAGTCTGACATACTGTATCTAAAATAAGATAGTTAAGATCACTGCTACAGAATCATTACCTTTCATGACCCTTCCTTCATTTCATTAGTTTAAAATGCTACTCCTGAAGGGAATTAAGACTGGAGCAGCCAGAATCTGAAGAAGATGTGTATGGAAACCAGTCAGCTGCTAGCTTTCATTTTCAAAGCTTAGCTAAAGTATCTGAAGCTAGAAGCTGATTGGTTACTATGCAAGATCCTCCAGATTTTGTCTGCTAGTTTTAAACAAATTCCCCCTCTGTAGAGAGGATACATGTATTCCAATGTGTATTTTTACAATACATGCACTACTAGTATCACTTCAATTGTATTTCAATATTATATTTTTGAAATGTTCAATGAACTTAAAGAAATTCACTTCACTTGAGAAATAAACAATCTCCTCTGGGTGATCAATGTACATTGCAAAAATGTTGACAGACTTCAAGTCCTACCTTTTTCTGCTCTGCAGAAAGAGCTGTTTGTTCTACTATGCCCTTTGGATACTGATTTTAAATGGAAGAGTCTGGTTCTTTGTATTCAGCTGGTGCATTTTTGTTTTCTTATGAGAAAAGTTGCAGTGTCTGCATCCCTTTAGTTAAGCAATTAGGGAGTATCTCACCAAAACTAAAATCTCTATTTCAGAGGATATTTAAAATTTGACTGTAGTGCAGACGTCTGGGAAAATCAGTGAGCCAATCACACAAGTAGGAAATTGCACTTCATGGGGTGTTCTGTAAACAACAGTGTACAGAACACCTCCAGGTTCCATACTGCGCAGGAGTTTACAGAAAATTACCATGGCAGCAGATTGAATAGATGAGGTATTTTTTTTTAATTACATTAAATTACAATATGGCTTGTGTAGCAATTATATATTTTTTTTACTTTTACTATATTTTTCTATATGAAAGTACAGTTGCCCTTCAAATTATTACACACTAATCATCTCTTATTTTGTTCCACTTTGCTCTGGCTTTAGAGGTGTTTAAAAGGTACAGCCTTTTTTTAAATATGTGCACATACAGTAGATAATGCAGCCTTCACTGTGCTGTTCTTTCTAGTCTTGAAAATAGATGGGTGAAGTGTAAAGATTAAAGTGAATATTTGCTCTCTTGCAGAGCTAAAAGTACCAGTAGGATCTTCAGCACTTTCCTTTGTGTAAGATACCTGCATCCCTTTAGGCTCCATTCATACCTGAGCGTTGTGTAGCTTGAAGCTCAAAGCTACAGAACTCAACAAAAGTTCATGTACAGTATTTAAATGGTGGCTGATTACTTATTTGCACTCAGGCACCTGTAGATCCATGTCTAGATTTGAATGGGAATGCATCCTCCCTCTACTGCTTTCGTTATTGCATGCACATATATTCCAAGTTAGTGATAAAAAATGTGGGTCTAAAAAGGGGGTCTAATCCTTTCCTCTTTTTCATAAGAAGAAAGGATGGTATTGACAGTTCAAGTGCCAACTTTTGTACTTCCAGGGATACTAAAGTCTATCTTTGAGTACTTTGGTCATCTGGCAGACATCCACCAGCACTATTAGTTTCTCTTTTCTCCAAGTTCCACCTTAGCAAGCTGGGTGCTAAGGAGGCACCAATACTTGAGTGCTCCTGAGCCAGGCTGCGTGCATATATAGACACACACAGCACCAGTAAGCCATGCCTCTACTCTCTCCTCACAGGAGTTTGACTGATAACAGCAGGAGCCTATGGCTCTGCTGCTTTCAGTTTCTTCTGTGGAACCAGGAAGTGAGGGGAGCAATGCTGGAGACAGCAGTGGTAACAGGAGCCAGGTATGTGTTTAGGGACAGGGGGTTCTAGGACAGATAGTGGGGTGTTTTTTTTACCTTAATGTAGAGAATGTATTAAGTTACAAAATATTTAGACTTTAGGACACTTTTCAAGCAAATTGCAGTAGAAATTGACAGGATGGCAACATACTTGGGATCAGATCACCCAACAAGGACACACAATCAAATCACCAAATTTGACACATCTGGAAAACAGGCTGCTGAGCCAAACATTTGTATTGCATTGGACAATAAAAAAGCTGTTATATTTTTACAAAATAAAAGGTCAGCCCAACAAAAAATAAGGCTATGTACTGTATACTCTGTAGCGTGGATTATTGGCTGACTCCAATGGAACTTTTTTAATAACTAGACTAACTGAAACATTACCTAATTAAACTTAATTAAAATTAAACCTGTTTGTCAAAATGTGGGAACAATAGGCAATTCAATGTAAGCTAATGTTTCTCCATATAGTGCTGTTTTAGGAAGATATTATATATTTTAGGTACACAACACCTTGGTACATTTTAGGGCAAGGAACTTGGTAAAAAAAAAATAGAAAAGTGATTTCAGAGACCAATGTCTCCCATGTATCACCTATCCCTAACATTTAAACTAAACCTTAACACTTCTACCCCTGAAACTAATTCTGAAACAGTAACCATTACCACTTAACAAAGCTTTAGAAATCTAAAGTGTATGTATAGCCATTTTAATTTTTTAATTTTGAATGTGGCAGGTTTGGAATTTCTGTCAAGTTTTTTTTTGGTATGTTGGACTGTTAAGTAGATTCACTCTCTCTATTATAAAAACATAACCACTGTCATCAAGCTATAAAACAATGGGAAATCCAAGAGTTGAGGGGAAATCTTTTAAAAAGGACACCTGTTCTGGTGACATCCAAGATGGTATTTTCCCTTACAATGTATAGATCTCTTAGTTTCTATTGCATCTCTGAGACAGGAAATAAAGGGAACTCTTCCCAGCATAAAAAAACTGAAAGAGATTTTAAACCATTCCCTACTCTATGTATAAGTACAAAATTTTTTTAAAATTTATTTGAAATCATTTTTTAATGCTCAAGGGAGAGGTGCATGATTGGCGGAGAGACAGTAATGTGACTCGGCTCTCCTCCCGGATTTATTTTCCTCCTTACAATGCCATTCACTTTAATAGTGATTTGCTAGTTTCAGAGTTTGAAAGCCAATGGTGAGCTAAGCACAATTATGAAGCACATCAATGTAACCACTTTGCAGCTTCCTGCCAATATGCATGCACTCTAGCATTGACTTCATGGCATCGCCCCCCCCGGAAGAAGGGACCTGGTGAGCAGCAGCAGACTGAGCCATGCAGGGCCGCCATCTGATCTGAGGGGTACCACAAGTAGTCCTGTAGGTGGCCTGGACAGCAGGAGGATCGGTGTGGTGGGGGAGGGCAATTGCAGAGCAGGGAGAGAAGTGGCAAAGAGGAAAGAGCCAGGAGGAGGTGAGCTGTGTTGTGTTCTCTGGGCTCTCTCTCCTGTCGTCCATGCAGTACACAAGACAGGGTCACTGATAGATCGTATGGGACTGCACAAACACACTATGATTACCGCCCCCTACCCACATTTCCTGCTGCCGAGAGATCAGCAGCCCTTGGAGGAAGTAAGGGGTGGTAATCATTGTGTGGTGTGGTGTGTGTGTGTGTGTGTGTGTGTGTGTGTGTGTGTGTGTGTGTGTGTGTGTGTGTGTGTGTGTGCAGGCAGTCCCATATGACCTATCAGTGATCCTGTCTCATTTGCTGCATGGACAACAGGAGGGAGAGCCCGGAGTACACAACACAGCTCACCTCCTCCTGGCTCTTTCCTCCCCAATTTTTCTAGGAAGTGTAATGTGGATTTGGGGGGGGGTTGGTGGTGGTATGTGTTAGGAGGAATGGGGGGAATAGAGATAGAGAGGGGGAAAGAG